GGGGGGGGGGGCTGCAGGCGAAATATCTCCATTCACATAAATACACATATATAACAGATAGTTCATCTTGCCATTGTCAGATTTTGTACTGCTGACACATTCTCCTGGCTCTTCAACTTGCCCAGTCAGGTTCTCCTTTCATTTACATGTGATGTATGCAAATGCTGTCTCTCCCATCATGCTTCCTTTTACCTGCCTCTGAAATGTGTATATCTATCCAAACACAGTTGTTTTGCTCTCTCTTTTGACAGGGCAACTCTGAGCAAGATGTATAATTAAATTGCTTTTTCATGTGTTGGTCTGTGATGGCAGTTCATGCCATGTGAAACATTAAACTATGCTTCAGCAACGATCATCTGGAATCACTGTAGTCAATGAGACCACTTGTTGCGCAAACAGTAACTAATTATGTACATACATACTTATAAACATATATTACATTACATGAATCCAAAGTTAATCAAAATTGATTACAGGATGTGGTATATGCTATAAAAATGCAAACCATATGTGTATGGCAGAAATTATACTTTCACATAAAATATACACTGAGGGTTCATGTAAGATATTCAAATATGTCAAATAGATCCACATTTATACATCAATACTGTGAACTTATGCTACTTATATACAGCTTTAAAAGGTTTTGAGTCATTTTTATGGCAACTGGAATTGCTCAAGAGACCAGAATGAGTGCATTTAAATATTATTTTAGTGTATATTAAATTGTGCCTGCTCATTCATTAGACTTCTGAGACTACATCATAAATTGTTGAAACTGTTTATAACAGCATAGAATGCACTTTTCTGATAACAAGAGAGGATGATAAACTGGTCTATGAAGATGATGGCGGTTCTGTGTGTTAATTATGTGTACAGCTGAACTCATCTGAAAATGTTTTTGGTTATTTACAAAGAAGTTCATTAATGAAAATAATCGTACATACTCGCATGAATAGGTTGGATTTCTAAACTCTAAAGCAAACCTCTATATGAATTTCTAGGTTTGACACCTACCATAATTCTAACACTTTTTTAAAGAATATGTCTTTTTACTGTTAGATGAACTATACCCAAAAACTATCCCATACTTCACTATAGAGTTCAAATAGGCAAACTGGATTTCAGAGTGTGAGTGTTTCTGATACATAACATGTAACTAACTGCATAACATGCTCCACTCAACTCAGGAATTAACTGATTAATATGGTTTCTCCAGTTAAGGTGGTTCTAAATTTGTAAACTAAGAAATTTTGTGTTTACTGACTCTTCTATATGCTTACATTATATCCAATGTTTGATGGACACTGTGGTGAATTATTTGTTATAAATTTTATTGCGTTTGTTTTATCTACATTCAAAGCCAGCATGTTAGCAGTAAACCATTTACTTATATGACAAAGAACCCTGGTAATACACAGAAATAATCAAATTATTTATAAGAAATTATGATAGTAGTGCCATTGCCAAACATTATGGATACCGATAGGGTATTTATTGTTGGACGAGTGTTCCTCATGTATATTATGAAAAGCAATGGTGGAACAGTCTGTCTTGAAAGTCGAAGCCAACAAGGAGTTGCTGGAGGTTTGCCTGAGAACCACATATTTTCAGGTGGACAACAAGTTCTTCAACACCCTTAATTAGGGTAAAAGTAGGAGGTAGCTTTCCTTTTGAGGAGCTGCTGCGCCAGCTCTTTTAGAGTATAAAGGTGTGAAAATGGAGGCTCTTTTTGCTCTTCTGTTGATCAAATGTAATATTTAGAAAACTTTGCCAAAGGCCCTGTTTCGGCATGGGTTCAACAAGATGGTGGTTGCCTGCGTCTCTACTACAATAAGTCAATTTGTTCATGCTAGCCATGTTACATAAAACTTTATTGTTGTCTGTTAAACCATTGAAGTGCAATCTCCGGTGTGCCCTGTGAGCATTAGGATAGGATAGAATAGAACAGTCTAACGAGTGGTAGGAAATGAAGGAAGAGACAGACTCTCAAGTCATACACCCTAGGTGGGAGATCAAAATGGAAGTGATAACCAGTCAACGTAAAGATACTATGTAGACCCGACAGAACGTCGGCATTCTTATTACTGTAAATATATGTGTAAATAGACCAGTGGAATTAGGGTAGGATGTAACGCAGAGTTGTGATTTACCTCCACGAACAGAACCCTTCCCAGACCAATCCGGAGCTATCCTAGTCCAGACGAAGGCAGAACTGACCCCAGGCTGCCCACGGCAGCCATATGCAATGAAACAGTTGAAGGGTGAGGAGAATTCTAGTTTAGGGTAACTAAATGGCACCCCAATCCTTGGGGGCGTGACAGTTAGTGGGCAGAGGCGGGTCCGAACCTCCACGCCCGCCCCACGCCATTACACGTGACACTCTTCATGGGTTTCCATAAGGTTTCAGTCTCAAGTGTTCAGGTTTTAGTCCACAGATGGCATTAGTGGTAGATACTACATGTCTTCACAATTTTTTTTTTCCGTTTCTTTGCACTGGTGCTCATGCACTTGATTAGTTTTGAAGCACAAATTTCTACCTCCTTTTATATCCCAGTTCCATGCATGTGTGTATATTGTATATTTTCTTGTTATCTCCCACTGAATTAGCCTGGTCTCAGGTGATTAAATAGCTTCTGAGATAGTTTCTGAAATGTGTTATCTATTTCCTACAATACTGGAAAATGGTAGAAGTCCAAAAACCCAGTAATTCCATGTTTTACTGTTCCTCAGTTTGTTTAGGAATTTGTGTAGGTAGCAAGTGAGGAAAGAAGGAGCAGTATCTCACTGCACTGGAAGAAATTCTCCTAATCACTAATGGAAAGGAAGAAGTACCCAAATTTATGTGGATATGCAAATTAGCAACACTATTAGAGTAACAACATGCCAGAAATAGCAATACAAGGATGACAACTTGCTCATAATATGATGTGGAAGGGACAAACATAATAGTATCTGTTAACAACCTTTTAACACCAAAAACGGTTCTAAGCACATCCTAAGCTACTCAAGAAAAATGGTACCCACATCATATATAAACTGTTAAAAAAATGACGACCTGTCTTAGTCTGATCAAGGGCAATTGCCAACACAAAACCCTGGCACATACATGATCCACTGCATCTGTGACAGCATATACATCCCATTTACCAAGGGTACTATTTAAAATAAATTCCAAAACAGCATAAATATAAAGTAGTCATATTTATCCTGAATATAAAAACCTCTCCCATCAAAATTTTAAATCTCCAAGATAACAAATTTACATCAGAATTAAAATTTTTCAAGTTTGCATTTCACCAGGAATCTACATTCTGCAATAAATATCAGTTTATTATGTTATCAGTAATTACTGCAACAGGATGCTGAAATATGATCCTAAAAACATAATGGTGTTCAAATACAAGCATGAAAACTATTACATTAACATTAACATTAACATATATAAGCCCACAGTAACAGTGAATAAACTGTGTTCATTAAAAGCCATAACAGTAAGAAGTTATATTGCATAAATCAGTCTATGGCTAACAGTCATCACAATTTTTATTGTTTGCCGCACAAACAACTGCTTGAATGTGATGAATGTCATTTTGCTTCCACAAGATGTGTCAATTCAGATGAGAAGCCTTTCCATGCTTCCTTATCTGCTCCCAAGCAATGCCTTAGTTTATTTACTCTCCCTGCCGTGGTCTGAGGGCAGTTTTCAGACAACCATCCTCAATGAGGTGATGCAAATGATCCTTGTATGTTGGGTAACTATCTCATTAAGAACCATAAGATGAGAGCATATCTCCAGATATTATCATTAAGTCCTACAAGTTTGGGATTTCACCTTGTTTGTTACTGGTATTATTTCTTCTGCTTCTTCCTTACCACATAAGTGAACAACAATTGAATTTAACCAAACAGAACTGAATATACAAACAGATGGACTGTTCATTGGTACAACATACAGTGCCTTAGTTCCATTCAGTTGCAAGAGCTTCTGCAATAATGAAGCCCCCAACAGTAATGTAGAACAACATCTGCGACTCAAATAGGTAACTTTGCCAGCAAATGAATGATGGGTACCTAGCTTGTTGCACCATAATTAGTAATTACAAAAAATGGAATATGAAGTTCTGATCTCTCTTTGTCAGCATATGGCATGTACCTGATATCTTAGAAATCAGTCATTCATAAGACCAATGTTAAGCTGTCACCAAGATAATTAATCCATTGGATGGCACCAAGATAGGACTTGGTAGTGGATACAAATGAAAAAAGAAAGAAAAAACACTCACTACATCATTTTTATAATTTCCAGCTGGTTTGGTTCCCTTAGATGCAAATAATCTCCTTGGAAATTTGTTCTCAATACCTTCAACATACACATTCCCCAAAGAACAAGCTTCAGATCTCCTACCATCCCCTCCCATAAAAAAGAATGAAACCATAAAATATTCAGTTTTCTTAATTTTAGGGTAAAAAAAGGTTTTTACATAATCATAGCATGTATTCTGAGTCTAATAAAAAGAAAAACATTTTGCAAAAANAAAGGTTTTTACATAATCATAGCATGTATTCTGAGTCTAATAAAAAACAAAATTATTTCACAAAACTAATGAAATACTGCACTTTCTGTATATAATCATATGCTTACTCTCATGTTAGGAGCCTGAATGCGTTGAATTGTGTTCTGCAGCTCAGTAATGGCACGGTTCAAACGATCTCCCATCTTCTTTACATCCTCAGGTTCATCCTGTTCTTTCAAATTATCAGGTAACTGTGTATAATCAATCACGATCCTGCACACACATCATACACCTTATACAATTTTAGCTGACAAATTACATGATTTTCAGTAATCACAAAATCTGCCACCTCTTTCGAGTTCAATTGCAGCAAAATGTTTCTTGTTTCAAGATGTTCCCTCCTTTTGTGTTATGACTACATCTTACAGACCTCAATCCATAATTTTATGACCACACCTGCCCAAGATGGAAATGCAGATCCCATGCAGTGAGTGCACATAATGGAAAGGCCACGCTTTAGCATAGTTAATAAATAATCCTACTTTACAATAAAGACTTTGAAACTTATTTCTATTAAACTGTGTACATGGCATTTCAATTGAGGATTAAGAAAATTTAAATTTGTTTCAGATGCATTTAACAACACAAAAAGTGGGAATGGATATTCACAAAAATTGAGGACAGGAACTAAACACTGTCAATAAATTCCAATTTTGGTCAAGACGGAACAATAATAATGGCCACTTCACATGAATACCTACCTGCACTTCCCCACATGTTATGGAAACATCCAAATCACTCAATAAATATTTATTACAGCAAAAATGTTTCACATAATACTTGTAAAAAAAAAGTGAAACATTTTATGTCAATAATGTTTTTCAAGTCTCATATTTTTTGACACNATTTATTACAGCAAAAATGTTTCACATAATACTTGTAAAAAAAAAATGTTTTTCAAATATTTTTTGACAGAATTAAATAAACAGAATTTTTATGCTCTCATCTCATAAACTGAAACCTACTGGACGGATTCTGAACAGACTTTACACTGTGGGTTCTTGTTCTTCAAATGCTACTTGTTTTACATTACTTATAACAACACAGAACCAAAAATTAGCATTCATAAATCGACAATCGAGAAGCACTAGCAAAGCCAATGTATCAGAACCATTCTGTTATGTACACAGTTCTTAATTTGCTCCAAATATAAACTGCAATGATGTACTCTGTACCAAGATATGACTCGACTATTACCCTATTTTCTTTATTTTATACAATGTGTCCAGTAATTTTTGAACCAAAGGATGGAGTTTCATGAAATCTTGTATAAATATCCTACCACTAGCAGCCACCTCATTTGTTACGATTTTAATTTCTTAACTTAATAATACCAACATGACAGATGTGTGGAACTTCTGCGTTGGGAGCAGTACATGTAGCACTGGTGTCATTCAATGTAGAGCTCTGAAATCTTGTGTGGCCCAAACACACAGATATAACTCTCAGTCAAAATGAGCATAATTTGAGATAAAACTGTAATCTGTTCCTCAAGACAGAATACTACATAACACAATTCATGCTTTCTTTTGGCAGCAATAAATAATGGAAAATTCCAGCCTGATTTATGAAACATATTATAGTGACACATCATAAACATATCTACAAACTTCAACTGAACAATGTCTTGTTTGTAATCTTAACCATTTTGTTATACATACCTGTTCTTGGGGTCTGGTATACTCCAAAATTATTTTCTGTGTAAAAGTGAATACAAAAAAAAAAACATATCTAGTAGTGTGTTTACCTGACTTAGGGAACATTCAATTTTTGTCTTTCACAGCTATGTTTTTCTGAAATCAGCACATGAAATAAATAGAAAAAGAGGTACTGACCTTACCACCAGATTCCAGGATTATTTTATTTGAGGAACCTTTCACACAAACACCACATTTTTTAGATATATCGCGAGAGCTAGGCCTTATTTGTTTCTGCATATTACCCTACTTTACATCTATACTTCACACCTTATATAATTATATGAATATTCATAATAACAAACAAGCAAACTTGCATACAGTCTGAACAAAATATTATTGTATATAGTGTGATTATATTTACAATATCACCATGATTCAAGGTTGAAGAAAAATCAATGGGTAAGTCCTTTGGAATTTCATAACATATATAATAAAGATTATATTTTGCATTTCATGACAAAATATTCACAGTTAATTTTCATTTGTAAAACTTGCTATTTTATGTATATGTAGAAAATTTTATTGTCTTTCAGATTCTTTTTGGTTCATATTTCTATGTTACATAGAATGGAAAATATGCATTTTTTTCTGAAAGTTTGCAATGATAATTAATTAGGGCGATTTAAATTCCGGCCGTACAGGGCTGCTGGCAATTTAAAAGTCCATATGTTAAAGGTTAATAAATAGTATAACTGACAATTTCTACTATCCTCGCTACATGTGTTAGCCCTTACCATCTGGGTACCTCACGTTTGCAAAGGCTCATGTATGAATTCCATCTTGGTAAACAGCATTTTTTAATGCTAACAACTTTACTCCTGGGTTAAAACGTGGCTGCCAGCCGACCTGAACCAGAAGATTTAAAATCCTCAACTCACAAATGGTAAATTGTTACCACTGATTTAAAATATGGCCAGGAAGGCAAAGTAACAGGACATAAAGGTTTAAAGGAAAGTATGCATCTTAAGCTCCTCCCAGAACTTTACTGTAACAAACCTGCTCTCACGGTCATATATTTGTTGTGTGCTTGTTGAACCTGTCTCCATGGAAGATGTCTCTGATGTTTCCATTGCTGATGTTTCTTGGGCAATGTCTTCCATGTTTCCACGTTGCATGGGAATGGCAATATCTTCCATCTACAGATAATCAAAATATCTGTATAAACAATGGAATAGTTACTTCATTCTGTGGCATATTATTCCTTAACAATTCACTTTACAGACAGTATTACATGTTCAGAAAGGAGTTCCATGCACCTACTCTCACACAGTAAGCACTTCCATCAAGATATATCTGTGCCTTCATCAGCATTAAATATCTCATAAGCAGAAATAACCACTCCTTGCCTGAGATATGGTAACTTTCATTGTCAATAATATAATATACAGTACAGAGTATAATATTTTTATATAATGTTCCTCCAACCAATTCCTGGCAATTGCATAGTGCATGTAACTGTCAACCAAATCAACACTGAGAAGAACACAGGATAAAAACAAGAAGGTAGCTTAAAGAATGGAAATAGTTGGAGAGGCCTGGTTGTTGATGACCTACATAAGAAGGGAAACGCTAAAGGAGGAGAAGGAATATATATTTTGAAAACTACTATGGAAGTTGGGAGGATAGGCTATCAATATGAAATTTTAGAGGCAGAAACCAGGCAAGTTTCTTTCTTTGGAAGTTACATCATCAGACACAACAAAGAGCACTCAACACTATAAAAAATGGACATATATTTCACTCACTTTGCATTGCTTGAGGATGGCATGGCGTTCCCCTCGCTTTTGTTCAATCTTTGCCTCCAGTGCTGCCACCTGCTTTTGTGAGGCTTGAATGTCTTTGGCAATTGTCCCAACTTCACGTCGAGCCTGTTCAACATAAATTACAGGCACACCAATAACATTATGGTGCTAGAGAAGATGAATTCTTATTATAAGGCTCATTCCCAGTAACATAAGGAGGTCTACATGTATAAAGCTATAATGCAGTCAATACAATAAAAGCCCACAGGATGGATGGTTGAGGAATCTGGGTTTGATTTCTGGCAGGGACAGATGTTTCTCTACTTCAAAGCATCCATACTGGTGCTGGGGCCTACCCAGCACACTATACAGTTCAGTACTGGCACTGCTTCCATGGATGTAAACCAGATGCTTGAAGCTGACTGCTCACCTCCTCCTAGATCCAAGGTTAAGAATGGGGCTATACCTCCACACTCCCACACATCTTCATGGAATGGTGCTTAATTAATTATGCTTTGTCTTCCACATTCCAAACAAATATTGTTACAAAAATTTAAAGAACTGGACCATACATTACTGTGACATATTTGCTGAAAGCCTAGGCAAGTTGCTAGGCAGTGATCGCAAAATTTTCATTTTGTCCAACATCAGGGTAATGTTCGCTTTCAAAAGAGTGGTCATACATCTCAGCAGGTGCTTGCATTCATTGATCACTTATCAGTACAGAATGCTTACAAAATTCCACATATGGATAATGTGGCATAAATTTCCTGCACTTTATTACCCCAGAACATGAGAGCTTACAATAATGAACAGCCACTCACACACCTTTCCTATTAGATCCTCCATACTGTCAACTTCAGACTTTTTAGCCAGACGTTCTGATTTGAGAACATCCAGCCGGCGCATGTCACGTTCAATGTCTGCCATTTGTTTTTGTTCTGACTGTTTGGCTGTCTCAAGATCATCCTCATCATCTTGTACAGCCCGCTCCCATCGCAGCACATTGTCTAAGCAACAGAAAAGCATATGAAACTGAAGCATAACCCATGCAAGAAATTTCAGTCACTATAAGGTGTAAAAATAAAGCTACATGGAACAAGGTTCCATGTTACTTAGTAACAAGTAAGAGCAACATCACCTCTTCATCAATTCTAGTTCTGACATCAAGTTTCACAAATTCATAACCACATGAAAGTACACCACCACTCCCGCCGCCGCCGCCACCACCGCCACAACCACCACCATCACCACCTATTAAGGGCAGTAATGGGAAGTATATGGTCTAAATTTAGTTGCAGATACTCATATTACAATCTTCTCATTTAATAGGAAGTCATTTTATGATTAAGACTGTGCTTTTTTGGGTTACAATACTGTATAATTTTGTGGGTGTATACCAACATTTCAGAGGAACATACTGCCTCCATCTTCAGGGACAAAGTGTGTAGTTTCAGGTCTAGGCCTACACAAGGCAAGTTTCACGGAAGGTTTTCATGGTACCCAAGGTGTGTGGTTCCAGATGTTCCTTTCTCCCTTCCTTGGGTACCACAAACATTTCCCCTGTTAACTAGCCTACACAACCAGTCACAGTGAATTTTCTCCCAATTAAGAAGTAATTTACTTAGATCATGCTATGAAGTACACTACAGCATAGAACTTGGTTTAATGTACATCAATACTGGAAGAAACACTTTACTGCAGCAAAATCCACTTAAAAAATTTCTGAAGAAATTCAACAAAGAGATTATTAAGCAGGAACACTTCTTAAAATGATAAATTTAATTANTACAATACTGTATAATTTTGTGGGTGTATACCAACATTTCAGAGGAACATACTGCCTCCATCTTCAGGGACAAAGTGTGTAGTTTCAGGTCTAGGCCTACACAAGGCAAGTTTCACGGAAGGTTTTCATGGTACCCAAGGTGTGTGGTTCCAGATGTTCCTTTCTCCCTTCCTTGGGTACCACAAACATTTCCCCTGTTAACTAGCCTACACAACCAGTCACAGTGAATTTTCTCCCAATTAAGAAGTAATTTACTTAGATCATGCTATGAAGTACACTACAGCATAGAACTTGGTTTAATGTACATCAATACTGGAAGAAACACTTTACTGCAGCAAAATCCACTTAAAAAATTTCTGAAGAAATTCAACAAAGAGATTATTAAGCAGGAACACTTCTTAAAATGATAAGTTTTAATCGATGACTTAAAATTAATTACTTTGTATTAGGACTTTCGCTGATAATGTATTATATAAAATCATGACGACATCTTGAATCACTGGATGTACATGCTGGTATCAAGCAAAACATTGTTACAACATAAAATTAGATCAAGCTTCCTTCTAACCATGTGTATGACCACCACACATTACCTAGTGTAGGGTTTGCAGATGTCCCATATCAAGACTGTCCCTCACATTAGTGGCTACTTTATGTTCCATTAGGAGTTCCTTAAGACAAGCAGTTTTCCTCGGTTTGAATGGACTAGATGGCAAGCATAAAACTCCCTATACAAATCTCCATGCACACATCAATTACATTGTATAGTTCTATCATTCTTTCCTCTCTCAATTCATTGTCACAGTGCCTTCTCACACAGCTGATCTCAATAATGTTGTTTTATTTATTTCAACAAACATTAACTTGATGAGAATACCCCATTTCAATTCATTGTGACAGTCTGATATACAATAGTTTGTCAGAACACACAGGTACTTATAATGTATTTATTTTTAATTTCATATCAACAACTGTTCCATTTTAAATGTCACACATTATAAACAAAATCCAGTCTGCTCTGTTTCAGTTTGTTCAATAACAATATTTCTTGAAAGTTGATTCTCACTGTGTTGACTTTTATGTGCTAGCTAATTACTGTACTCTATTACTAGTTTCATAGCTACACTTAAAATATGTTTTACTGACACTTTCAAGATGGAAGTGAATCATTCTTGATAATCATAACACTCATCTCTAAAATCAGCAGACCCTGGAGGATAGCATGAAGTGTAAACTTTTTGTTGCACATTTGAAGGAACTCAAAATGTGGGCAATTTGATTTGCAAATCAAACTTGGGAAATTAAATCAATATATTTTGGCATAAAAATCAAGTGAGTAAAATATTTATTCCATGGGGCCCATTACATGCTTATTAGGTATGAAATCCATTTAATGCATAACATATTAAAAGGATAAAAATATACAAATCATACTGGAAAATTCTGGAATCAAATTATTTTAACACTTAGGAGAAACAATGTCTTAAGCAATGTCATCTCAAAAAGGCTTCGCTGCACCGACTTGCTATTTTCAAGGGACACCATTATTACACGGCCTTCCCTACAGCACAACTGTGACATAGACCACACACTATAGAAGGATCAAAAATTAAAACATACAAATGATTCAATGTTTGGAATAACATTGTGACAGTCTCTATCGAAAGGTCATTACAATAATGACAAACTCATAAATACTGTCATGTAGTATGTGTGACTACAGACAGGGTTTTGATTGATGAACAGATTTACTGACCTCTTACAAGTCGTATATACAAATACCTATTAACACTATGGCTATTTCCACACTTTACAGTACACTAGAGTACACAGTCTGTCACTAGACGTTTCCTGATAACACCTCCAACAGTGGATATTCCTCTGCCTCCAGGCTTTTCAAACTCCCATACATAACTGACTAAGCTCTAACCTTGTACCTTAATTGTAACATCTCAGCACAGACCACACTGAAAAAACAGTACTTCTACTGTGTTCATGTTTCTTGCTGTGGGAACATATATACTGTGCTTCTGCCCAGAAATTGCCCTAGTATATCTGTCCATCTCATGGTTGTTGTATATCAATGGCTCTACATGCTACAATCTTAACTTACTAGATGTATCCCTTGTCTTCTCAAATTCCAGTTGATTCAATATCCGATTTCTTTGATTTTCGAACTCCATCCTTTTCTTCATGCGTTCTTGTTGAGTTCTAGCAAAAGAAGAAGAGATGTCATATCAAGAAGTATTTAATTAGCACTATAAGATTTCACATATACAGAGATTAAATATTAAAATTTCGACACAAAGCCCCTGAGTGCTACCCTGGTTATCCCACCTTCTTGTGGCCAGTAACCAGGCGATACTGGCACATTGTAAGGGAGTGGTGACAGTGCAGTTGAAAAGCCCCTTTCAGAGGAAGGTGGACTGGCAGAACTGAGCCTGGAGACCCACAACTCCAAAGGACACTACATAGCCAGACCTTGGTATGGGTTTGGGACGAGGTAACTGTCAGAGTCCTGAACATTATCATTCAAGACCAGACACTAACAAAAGGATCCCTCTTGGTACATGGCAAATCAGTCATGCTGGTGACCACATTTAACACAGTGAAGTGTTACAGGACGTGGTTGTTACTGTCAGATCAAACATAAGTGATGCAGAAACCTGAGAGTTTGAAGGTCTAATTACAAAGTATAGTTTTGTACTGGCATGAAACTTGGTCTCTGACTTTCATTTCATGCAGCTTGTTGTGTTATTATATACAATTCTTTATTAGAGTCTGTGGGATTTGTCGATACTCCATTAGACAACCACTTTGGAAAGTTTGTGGGCCCTGAAAAGGGCCGTTTGTTCCACCGCGGTAGATAGTTTCACAGCCATTTGGCTGGTCTGTCTGGCTGGTGATGTAGGGCTGCGTGCACCGGTAGAAATAGATGTTGGCTACGGTGCGTTGGCTAATGTTGCGGCAGCTGAGTTAGTTGTCTGGTCGCAGTGCGGCAGTTGCCGGAAGTTGCCTGGTTGCAGAGTGTGGTTGCTGGAAGACGTCTGGTTGTGGAGTGTGGTTGCTGGAGTAGCAGCAACTGCACCACTTGCCCGGTGCATTGGGCATGACCGCCGGAGAGCTGAGGCAGCCATCCCTGATGCAGTGAAAAGCCAATGACTCCGAAGACCGATCGTTCTGGACTAAGAGTGATGACTGACTGGCTGATGTGGTCATTGATGATTGCGAGCTTTGGGCTCCGCCTTTTATACCATGCTTGATGGAGGAGCGAAACTTGCAGTTGTGATTGTGAGCACTGATTGGCTAGTGCGTGTAATGATTACGAGTGAGCTGGACAGCAAGTGCTTATATAAATATGAGTGGTGGCAGCAATGTGATTGGTTAGCACACGTGATGGTGAAAACTGAGCTGGACAGTGGGTGCTGTATAAATATGAGAGCTGACAGCAATGTGCAGCAATGTGCTGTTGACTTATGAGTGAGTGTTATCCGTTGATCGGTGAAACAGCGTGACAGTATGTGGGATGTTCCGACAAATCCATTACAACACAACAATACAATGGTCAAGGCTAAAATTAGCTTAGCTACATGTTTCGGCTATTAAAGCCATCCTCAGGCAAACACACGATCATCATGTTCACACACTACTGAACTGCTATTGCAATAATGAAGCTGGATACTTGATAATTATTACATTATAAAATACATGGTATAAAAATACAATGCACTATAGACTTATTATAAAAACGAAAGTTTTATGACATAACTTTCATTTTTATAATAAGTTTATAGTTCACTGTATTTTTATACCATGTGTTTTATAATATGATTATTGTCAAGTATCCAGACTTACTACACAATTGCAGTTCACTAGTGTGTAAACATGATGATTGTGTATTTGCCTGATGATGGCTATGAACAGCCGAAACACGTAACAAAGCTAACTTAGCCTTGAACACTGTATGGTTGTGTTGTGACAGACTTAATGAAGAATATTATATTTAAGCATCCTGTTGCACTCTACACGATAAATGATACAAACTCCGTCCCAAGTGCAAACAATATATATTATATGTCTTTGATCTTGTTCTCTTCTACACTACATGTTTCGGCCTCTATCGGCCATCATCAGGTGTATACTCTTAACGTTGCTGCCACACTGAACCCAGTCTAAAATTTAACATTTAAAAACACATTGTTATTTTCTTCGTATTATCAACATCTACCTCGTTGATATGTGTCTGGTATGTAGATTATATTGCACACGTCAAATTTAATTTTCCTGTTGTAGAGCTATAAAATCTTTAGTTATGATTTTAAAATCCTTTAAAATGAAGAATTAATGAAGAATTGTATATAATAACACAACAGGATGCATGAAATGAAAACTATAAGCAGTATAGTTTTGTATATCACAGATTATCACATGAAGATAAACGAATATGCGATCACACAAGTTTTCAAAGCAGTGCACAATGGATATTAAATACAATGACCTTTAGTTGCCCTGCGTTGCATTACCATAGTGACATACAGATGCAGTACATCTGGCCAAGCACTCACATTTTTCAACACTAACACCATTATTATGCATTAAAATATGGCTGCTAGCCCCATAGAAACCAACTTAAATTCTATTACCAGACAATGAATGTTAAATAAAGATAAAAGAAAATACTGAATTCAGCATTAGACCTGGAAAACACAATTTTCCACACACTTGAGTTTCAAGAAGACAGGCTGCCTTATAAACTTTAAATATAGCAGTCATGAGGTAATGTATTTACAGTACCTGAGTTCCCTCTCTTCATACTGACGGATGTTGGCAACACCAATTTGTTCGCAAAAGTTGGCAAAAACTTTGTCTTCAACATTGTTCATGTTTTCCTTAATTCGCTGAATCTCATTGCCTCTGTCAAACATGGTCTTCTCAATTTCTGCAATAGTGGGCTGAAAGATGTCAGACAACATCAGTTGTCAGGTAATATTTATGGTTACTTATGGACCATGTTTCAGATTATAGGAAGTGACATGTCATATAGCATTCACATATAAAATGCAGTGCAGGATAAGTAATTTGTATAAATCACCATAGAAGCTTCAGTTCCAAAAACTCTTCACTACTGCATCCTTCTGCTCTGTGTACAAATTATTACCAAGATTAACATTAGTTACAAGTGAACTCAAAAATCAAAGGTTTGAGAGTTGTAAAATTAAAAGCGGCCAGGGAACTATGGATCACAAAATAAACTCAAATTATTAGCAGAACTATCACATTATGAACACAGTATTTACTTGCATAATTTTCACAGATTTCTACCCCAAAACTTCTGTCTGAATGTTGTGGTACTGAAGATGGGACAGCCACCTCCCAAAACGTACTGTATATCACATAAACCTTAGACAATGAACAAAGTCAAACATAATATTCGGATAATGAAAAGGTCACCAATTTTTTTTGAACGCCATATACATACCAAACTCAAACAGCACAACACTTTGTTTCAAAACACAATGAAGATTAAGTAATGTGTCACATGTGTACAGTAGGTAATAATGTGGTATTTTAGAAAATAAAATAAATTAGCTTATGAAATGTTTTCTGCACAAACAACAAAATTGTCAAAACCAATGTTCATGTAAAGAGTCCAAGCCACAATCCATATTCCCAAGACTCCAACCAGATTTCATCCATTTTACGGCTGTCCACAGATCTCAAGAAAAGATGACTTCCAAGCATTAATCAGACAATTAAATATACATTAGGATAATACAGTGGGGAATGCTAACAATACTGAAATGTTCAATTCAATACTTACCCCAAAATTTTCAGATTTGTTCTTCAATGCATCCAGTTCTAATTCTAGCTGCTGGATTTGCTGAAGCTAAAATCAAAAACAAGTCTGGGTAAGCATCTTTGAAATCCTATGCCCCAAACAGTATGTACAGTAATTACTACATATTCTATGACTGATATCATTGGACCAACAAACACTATGAGTATTTCAAACCACACTGCCAGCTGTTCAGATGTAGAACTGGTATAATTTTAAATGTGTAATTGATTGTTAACATTATGATCTTCTAAGATGTGACATCATGTAGTCTGGTACAGAGAAACCCACGTTTTGGAGGAATGTGCAGATGAAGGCAGTGGGTTCTTCCACAATGGGATTATAACCAAGCATGAAAATGCTCCTGCACTTTTGTTTGAAGTTGGGGGGAAGATACTGTGAAATGATAACTGAAAGCTGGAATAGTGGAGCCACAGAAGGCAGCCGATGCTAGGCAATAGCTCAATGAACACATTCCCACAGCAATAGACACACACAACAATACAGTAAATACTGGAGGCAGTGCTTTCTATGTGATCCATCCCAAAGATCAATGGAAGCAGAACCACAATTGACAGAAAGATGATCATGGGTCTTGCAAAGGCCAAAACCAAGAATGACTGTGCTGGCAAAGGCCAGCAGAAATTAGCAAACCAGACAAAGTCAAGGAGAATCTCATGACTTAATCAGGGTCACAAGACAGGAAAATATGGTAATGGGTCCTGTGAGGTCTGAAACCAAGAATGACTGTGCTGAAGGTCTGCAGGAAATTACCAGAAAAGACCAAGTGAAGGAAGTCAGCTGGCAGTAGTTAAACCCCTCCTCTCATCAAGGAGAAAGCCACATTTCAAAACATGTTAGTGATCTTGGAAAAACAAAAATATTGTTGTGGGTCCAAATTGGGCCTGAAACCAAGAATGACTCTGCCGGTGAAGGTCAGCAGCAAATCACTGCTCTGCTCAGAAGCACAGTCAGTGGCTAGCAGTCAGTCATCAGCCAGTGCAGACAGGAGCCACTGAGCATGGAAGCAGCAAAAGGAATCTCCGTAGTTAGAAGCTGCTACTAAACAACAAGTATGTGAAGAAACAGTAAAATGGCTGTTAACTATTTGTAGTTATGAGTAATTAGTATCAGTAAATTAAATAATCAATCCAAACCTTGTGTCTAGTCACTAAGTTGGTCCTGTGGATATTTTCATATTTGAAAAACTAAAAATATCCTTGAAAAAGTATAATTCTAAATCACTTCACGATATTCAGACCAATGTGATGAGAGAACTGACATGATATTTGAAATATTAGTCCCAACAATGTTAACTGGCATGGCAGAGACACTGGAATACTTGCATCAGGTCAGAAGGCTAGTACTACTTTAAAACTAGACTCACTAAAGATTAGTGACGTACAGAATCAGTACAGTTATGTAACTGTCAGACTACTAATACTTAAGAGAACATAAATTTACATTTTTACAACTGACTATTTTGAGCAAGGCAATGAAGTAACCATAGCACTCCCTCTTGCTGCTTTACATTTGAAATAGTTATATACACATTCATTACTTACCGTTTTCTCTCTGTCAGTCTTGGAGTACTTCAGGCGGGTTTCAAGACCTCGAATCTGAGAGTCCACTGTGTTTAGTTCGGATTCTTTGCGCGACCTCTTCATTGAGTCCCGAAGCTCCTCAGTCAATTTTTCCTTTAAAGTGTTAAAATTGATTATCTCTACTATAGGAAAAGAATTGACAGTGTGCTGCCCATGACATAAACAATCAATGAGACTAGAAAAATAGATACATGTGGAAAGGAGAGTAGCAAAAGAATGGACATATATATAAGTGGATTAATGTTGGAAGTATAAATTATAATTATTACTGTTGCTGTCATTATTTGGACAACACCCCTAATTTCATCATAGAGGTTGCTCTGAGATTTTTACTCCTACTGTAAAATACATATTCAATCTCACTTTACTAAATGGGACTTTCCTCCTTATATGGAAAGAGATATTTCTCCTTATGAATTACTGATCTCAAAGAGAGAACAGACAATGTGCTTAGCAAGTACATACATGAAGGTCTCATCTGTACAGGCTGATACAAAAGCTGTAATTTTTCTGTATGGCCAACATAGATTTACTATGACCATCACAAAAGCAATGAGCAGAATTGGATTTATGGTTTTATACATGTTTTACTGGCATAATAAGACTAAGTGTTATATAGCCAATAGTTCTAGCTGATCTCTGCAATCTGATACACAAGTCCAGTGCATGCACACCAAAATGATGTATCATTTTACTAGAATTACTACTGAATTACTCATAAATGTCTCTGCAGCAACACTCCAGCTGACTTGGTTATATCTATGCAAAATATTGCAGTACTGGATGAAACACTTCAAGGACGGCAAAAGGGACATCACCAATCTGCATCACAGCAGTGGATCAAGAACTGCCACTACAGAATGTAATGTGCAGGAAGTTGATGCACTCAATACAGAAGACCAAAGAGTGATAATTAGGAAAATCACAGTGCAATTTCACATTGAACACACTACCATGCAGGGGATGAGGGAGACTCTGGGATACGAGAAAGATTTTTGTCAATCAGTTCCTTGACTGCAGGCAGACCAGCACAAAAGGACATGCAACCTAAAGTGCAGATTTGGACACTTTGGAGTATCACCTATCTAGACCTAAAAGAACACATGGAACAAGCATTACATAAATGATGAAGCAAAGCATGCAAACATAGATGCAAAATACTGAAACAGACTTCCACTATAGCAACATATTCAAGCACATGCATCACTGGCATAAATGACTGAATTCTGCTGGGGATTTTGTCGAACAGTGATGGGACATCTCCAGTAATTCAAGACAGTATCTATTTTTGTACATGTATCTTTGCTTTAATACGAAATAAATGTGCTCATGATTTTCAGTACATCCTATGTATACAGATAATTACAAGATGAAGTAAAAAAAGGTGGGCAAGATACAAAACAGACAGGTACCTAATTTAAAAAGAATGGCCAGGTGTAAATTAATATGGTTTTGCCAGCATCATAGAAATGAGGACTATTATGACAGGTGACCAATAAAGAGGGGTGGCGGTCTTCACACGTTTCACTTCATGTGTCAAAACTCGTCACTCCAATTTGTTTCCTTTGTAGATGGTCAGAAAATGTATGAAGTAATAAAGTCAACATGAGTTGTAAATCTTTACAAATGAATATCTGTGTGGTATAAAAGTGGTGTTGATTTATGCAGTGTCAATATTCAATTACAAGTGAACTTATTATCCACATAACATGCAAACCACAGAGGTAATAAGTTATAACCAATGTTTATAACAATAGCTTTACAACACTATATTATTAGAAAGAATAGGAAATATGTGAATTCTGCCATTTGAACTCTTAGCTGTAGAAGAAAAAACATAACTGAAAACTATTTGAATTAGATTTCTTTTTATGCTGTTCCTGGTTTAACACATGTACTGCACACAGCGAACACAGAGATTCACACCCTAAACTTAATGTACAGAGAAGTACAATTCCATCTTTCCTCTTTTCCCCTTATTAACCAGTGCATGTATATGTCTCAAGTATTATCACATACCTTAGTAGCTTTCAGTTGGGACATGTGTTTTTCATCCCAGCGTTTTGCTTTGCGAGCCAGATCCAAGCTGCCGCCAGAGATAATTCCAGATTTCTGGTAAAATGTACCATCAAGAGCCACAGCCTAAAATATGACAGTACAATTCTATGTACAGAATGTTTAAAAAAAAGTAAGTTTCTATGCTTAATTACTTAAGCTCTATGCAATGAAGACATATGGTGCAGTGGAGGTTTAGCTTA